CTCTCTTCCTCTCTCCTCTCTCTTCTCTCTCTCTCTATCTCTCTTCTCTCTATCCTCTCTCTCTCTTCTCTCTCTCTCTCTCTCTCTCTCTCTCTCTCTCTCTCTCTCTCTCTCTTCTCTCTCTCTCTCTCTCTCTCTCTCTCTCTCTCTCTCTCTCTATATATATATATATATATATATATATATATATAGTGGAGCGGTTAAAAGTGTTTTTAGGCATAATCGTTCAGTTGGTGATACAAGCATTAACATTTTCATGAGCAGTCTCTATGGGTTACTTGACAAGAAAACGGGCCTAGCCACTTGAAATTACAAAATGGCGGCCATTTTCCAAGATGGCATCTATCAGAATCTCCAAATTATACCTTTTCTAATAGAAATTGATTGAGTTTTCCGATTAAGGAGGTTTTGGTGTCGTTTCTTATGTTTTAGACCATGCTGAAGTCAATGGTGTAAAAATAATCCACCTAAAATTCCAAAATAACGTCCATTTTCCAAGATAGCCGCCAACCATTGCGCCAATTACCCAATGCGCCATTGCGACATGCCCAGCCATTCCGCCATTGCCCAACTGGGATGGCGGTGTTTGCAAAGACACGAAAGCAACAACTCATTGACATACTTCATGAGAATAACATTAGCATCTCCTACGCCAGTGTTGAAAGTTTCTGCCTTGCTAGGAGAATCCGTGGTAAACCAGTATGTGGTAGATGGGGTTGTGTGCCCACCCATTCTGCGAAAGGGACTCTTCACCACCTCTGCTATGGACAACATTGACCATAACCCCACAGCAACAACGGCAAATACATCCTTTAATGGTACAAGTATTCCCATGTTCCAATATCCAAGCCCCGATAATGAAGGCGAGATAAGGCCATCACTCCACCTTCCAAACAACAGAGGAAAAAAAGTTCATGACATTCCTGAATCCTTCTCCAACATCCGACCAGCTTTCTTCAATAAGAAAAACCCGGAGCTCCTTCCTGTAGCCAACCTACCTTTGCCAGACCCCATCGTATTCAGCAGAAACTTCACACCTAAGTATGAGTGGTTGGAGAAGGTCAGCATAACTCAAAAACTAGGCGCTTTTGTAAGCATAACATGGTCAGCCCACCATGCATCCCAAAGGAGGAGCCAAGGTTTTGACGATAGCATTACATCAGGTCACACCTGATTACATCACTGCTTCCCCTCCTCCGAAACCAGGGCCAGTATGTTGCGACAATCAAGCATGTCATGGATAAAGTTAGGGATACAGTGGCATTCCTGAATCCAGGACAAACACCAGTAATAACTGCTGACCAGCCACTATATGCCGTTGCTAAACAGATCCAATGGCACTGGCCGGAGCATTATGGAGAAGACAAGTTCGTGATAGGGTTACATATTGTAATGGTCTACATCGCAGTAAATCTACATTGTACCAGCGGTGGTCTACATGTTGAAATGACAGCATTGAAATATATCGGAACGCTACTCAACGACAGCGGTTGGACTAGTGCCTTTGTTGAGGTTGGTGTAGCCTCGCCTGGTACTGCAGATTCGTTTCTGTCATCATCAAGTGTAACCAGAACACGCCGTTCACATAAGATTACAGCATGCAGTTTGTACGAGCTCATGAAGGATGCATACAACGCCTACAGGGAAGTGACACCTGGCAACAATTAATACTATCAATTTGAAAAGCTGGTGCACGGAACAGAAGAGTACACAATTCAAGTTCTGGCTTCTCATTTATAAAATATAGCTGACCATACTCATTTTGTTTCGATCATTTCGAAAAGCTAACTTCAGACTGTACAGTGAATCACTGCATGAACTAAAACTATACTTATCTGCTAACAACAACGTTAACTATGCTTGATGGCTTTCAATCTACCTCCGAGACATGATGTGCATTAAGGATCAACATCCAGAAGTGGCTAGAGAGTTTTACAAGAGGAACTTTGTAGTTCACAAGTCAGACAGAGATTTCTCTGCAGTCGATTGATCAAGCTTATGAACAAAACAATTCTGTCATCAAAGGTGATGGGGGAACAGTCACCCTGGCGGAGGATCCATCAGCACTGAGAAGAGGGATGGTGACAGGTCCAGAGGTGAGCCGTGGGGTTGCAAACTATGAAGCTGTGTCAGGAGTGAAAGATGTGAAGAAAGGTAATCGTCACCACGAACAAACAGAGGCTGCTTAAAAAGCATTTGTTGAGAACGTGAAACGACTCACATCGGTGATGCGAGAAATGGGCAACCCTTTTACGAAAGAATCAGACGATCTGCTTGTTTTGGACACGAAGGACATTGCTGACTCCAGTGCAGCTGAGCTGATAGCAGTACATCACTTACGAGGCAAAGAGCAGTTCATGGCATTTATGACAGATCTACAGAGCAGCGACGGTCAGTGCCCTTTCTACAAGCCTATCAAGAAGAATATGGCAGATTTCTTCAAGCACAAGCCAGCTGCCAGCGGAACAAACTCTAAGATGAAGGAACTAAAGGATGACTACCGACTTTTTTCTCGACTATTAATTTCACGCCAGAACAGGCTGTGTGACTTGCAAGAGTTCTTCATGCAAATGCTTTGATGCAACTTGGCCTTGAGAAAATACGTGGTATCCTCGTCTTCCATGCCTTCAGTGACTGTGATATTGTGTCAGCTTTCCATGGCAAAGCAAAGAAGTCTGCCTGAAATACATGGGACGTGTGTGACGAGATCTCAAGCACATTTGCAAAACTCAGCCAATGCCCTTCTGCGGTGGAGGATAGTGACCTGCAAGCTCTAGAGAGATTTGTGGTGCTAATGTCCAGCGATGTCACAACTGTAAACGAGACAAGGCTTGATCTATTTGCCAGAAAGCAAAGACCATATCACTCAATACCACTAATTCAAGCAGCACTCAAAGAGCATGCCAAACGTGCTTCGTATGAGGCCGGACACGTGTGGGGACAGTACAGGCATTGATGCGACAGCCATAACTGCCTAGCCCATCCGACTGGGGATGGCTCAAACAGGACGAGGAGTGGGAAATCTTCTGGACACCTCTTGCACCTATTGCGAAGAATTGTCGGGAGTTGACCAAATGTGGGTGCACCAAGGCATGTTCTGGAAAGTGCAAGTGCTACAGCTATGGGCTCAGTTGCACATGTCTATGTAGTTGCCCCTGCCAGGCCTAGATGGGCACAATGTGATGGATATCAGAAAGGACACTTTACTGCATCACATGCATGAAGGCAGGGGATATGGATCAGAGGTTTCATTACATTACAAAGATACATATTTCGAAAAAAGCCTATACAGATTTTCCTTGTTGAAGTAGGGTCAAGCGATTTACTTGACCTCGTTTATGTTTTGACAGCTTGATTAACATTAATTAACCAAATAACACAGTAAGTATTTCTACAAACTGCAAATTATACTCATTTATAGACTTAATAAAATATACAAAAGATGAGAACTTTAACTACCAAGTGGTGTGGTTTATTTTGGCTACTTGATCTGAGCGGTTTGGCGGTTATCTTGGAAAATGGACGTTATGTTGGATGTTTAGGTGGATTATTATTACAGCATTGGCTTCAGCATGGTCTAAAACATAAGAAACGACACCAAAACTTCCTTAATCGAAAACCCAATGAATCTCTATTAGAAAAAGTATAATTTAGAGATTCTGAAATTCCGCCATTTTGAAATTTCGAGTGGCTAGGACCGTTTTATTGTCAAGTGACCCATAGAGACTGTTCATGACAATTTTCATGCTTGTATCACCAATTGAACGATTGTATCACTTAACCGCTCCACTAATATATATATATATATATATATATATATATATATATATACTTACTAACTAATATATTAGTACGTAGTAGTACTACTACTTCGTACTAACTAAACTATATAAACTACTTCGTACTAACTTCCTTCCTACACTACGACCAC